GCCCCCGCCTCCTTGACCTGACATAACCTGTCCATCTTCTGCCCCCGCCTCCTTGACCTGACATAACCTGTCCATCTTCTGCCCCCGCCTCCTTGACCTGACATAACCTGTCCATCTTCTGCCCCCGCCTTCCCACTGACCAATCCCTACTATCTCCCACCTACATCCACTTATTACCATTCCACCTTCCCTCCCCCAATCCCACCCCTCCTCCCTCTCAACTCCTTGACCTGACACAGCCTGTCCATCTTCTCCCCTACCTATCTGCCCCACCCTGCCCACTGAACAATCCCCAGCTGCATCCACCTATCATCATCCCATTTACCTTCCCCCAGACCCACCCCTCCTCCCTCTATGTATTTCCCAGCTCCCTTCCACCTTCCCAGTTCTGATGAAGGGTCTGACCCGAAACGTCGACTTTCCTACTCTCTGATGCTGCCTTACCTGCTGTGTCCCTCCAGCTCCATACTGCGTTCACTTCTGATTCCAGCATCTTCTGTTCTTGGTATCTTCATGTGATATTTGGTCTTTTTGCTTTCTTACTAGCTTCTTTTAAACATGAGTTTCAATTTATATCAAGTATACTTCAAATCAGATGGCTGTTTAATTCGATTGGAGGTCAGTGTTTGGGGTTTGAGAGTGGAGAAACAAAAATTAGGACAAGCACGCGTGAACCATAAACATTGTTTTCTAGCTGTAGATTGTCATTATGGAAGCACCTCTACCAGCCAGAGTCCACTTGCCAACCAAACAGCACTCTGTTCTCATACGGTATAAAAAAGGTTGGTTTTCCTTTATGTCGGTATTTCTTGGGAATTGTCCTGATGACAATAAATCTAAAAACTTTGACAAAATCTGACCCTTTACAGCAATGCTCAAGTTCTGTAATACCAAGCGACTATTATCATTATTGTTTGTAGTACAGTAAATGTAATATCAACAGATAGTAAGTTCACTCACTGGGTAATGTGATAAATAAGGTTAAATTTGTCAATTTGCTGCTGGCAACTATATGCAGGAGGACAGGGAATAATGGGATGCCACATCATTATGCCAAGTTGATTGCATTTCTAACTGTAAGTTATAGGGCAGCTTCTTTGCGTATAAAGCATTGGTACTTTGTTATTTTTGAGGTTGGTAAATTTTTTTTCAAATCAACAGGAAAAGTTGATACTTCAGCAGAAGAATGGTATAAAAGGTAAGTTCCGCATTTTTTTTATTGTGATGATTTTTTTTGCTAATTGTGCATAAGTGCATGTTTTTACAATTTGTGTAATATGATTTCTTCTAGTTCTGAAAGATGCACAGACGCAGAATGCCCTGCAGGATGTTGCAACACGAATTGACACAAGTAAGTTAGTCAGCATTCTAACACTCTGTAAATGTTGTGCACTTTTAATTTTCTGTTTTTCTAATCAATCTGTTCAGAGATGTTATTACATACCCCTGGAGCAAGTGGGACTTGAACCAGTGCTTCCTGGTCCAGGGTTAAGGACACTACTACTGAGCCACAAGAGGCCCACCCCCCCTTTTTTAAAAGGGAGATAGAGCTTGTTTATTATATTTAGTTATATGTTGAATATGCCATGTTTTAACTGGACATTCGGGAAATATTTGGGATATTTTGATGCATCGGATGATAATTGGGAAGTGACGAGGATGTGTATTTAAATGAATGCTGTATAAAAATAAAGAAAAATAATTGAATTGGGGTGTTGTTTTGGCTATTCTCTTTATATGTCAAAAAAAAATTATTGAAACATTTGGTTCACTAATGTCTTTTGGAGAAGGACATCTTACCTAGTCTGGCCTGTGTGAGATTCCAGATCTGCCCTCTGGGCAATAAACACTGGCTTAGCCAGCGAGGTCCTTATCCTGCAAATGAGTATTTTTTTTAAAAAAAGTTATTGAAGTGAATTTCTTTACTGTCTTTTTTTTTTCCCCAAAATGCAATAATTGCCCCTTCTGGAAGCACAGGTTCGGATCCCTATCAGCAGATGAAATATAAAGTTAGATTAATAGATGTAATAACCAAATCTAGAATTGAATGTTGGCAATCAGTAATGAACATTTTATTAAGTACTATCTACTTAGCTGAAGTTCTTCTGGGAAGAAAACTTGTCATTCTTTCTTTTTGTGTTCTATATGCGACTCCACACCACGGCAAAGTGGTTGACACTTCGGTGCTCTTTAATATGGCCTGGCAAACCACTCAGCTGTACCAAACTGCTACACAAAAGTCATACTGCATGGACTGCAGTGGTTGAGTTAGGTTGCTCATCGCCACCACCTTGAGGACTGTTGAGGATTGACAACTAATGCTGGCTTGGCCAGTGTTACCTACGTCCCTTGTGGAAAAAAATACATAGGTTGAAAGCTGTCTACTGTCAGAATTTTCTGTTAATTATTCTATTCCAATAGTGGAAAAAAAAAGGGTCTACTTGTCTAAACATTCACCATGTACTATCGGCAGGAAAGACACCCACAGGGAGCAAACATTGGAAGAATTACACCAAACATTTATAAATGAACGCTTGAGTTCCTCTTTACCATTTTATAAATGCTACTTGGTGAATGTGTTTACTGTTGGTTATATCCACAGATAAAGTAAAAGTGTTACTCGAAGAAATATGGATGTGTATTGAAAAACCCAATGTACAAGAGAAGCCAAACAAGAGCCCAGGTATGCTGCATCTAATTTGGATTGTTTGACTCTGCCATCTAATGTGAAAGGAATAGTATGAACCTTTAAAGAATGGTAACAACACAGAAGTAGACCATTCAGACCCACAAATCCACATTAACTGTCTGAAAGAACAATCCAGCAAGTCCCACTCCCTCACTCAGTCTCTGTAACCCTGCACGCTATTGATGCTTATCCAATTCCCTTTTGAAAACCACAGTTGAATCTGCCTCCACCACCCTGTCAGTGCATTGCAAATCCAAAACGTATTCAACATTAAAATTGTTTTCTCTTTGTCTTTTGTCTTTAATCTGTGTCTTTTTAGTTCTTAATATGTCCATCCAAGAGAGCAGTTTTTACTTTATCAGCTCTGTCAACACCCGTCATAATTTTGAATATTTGCAGCTATCAAACTACACTCTAAGAGGAGTATCATCAATCTCATCAATTGATGACCTTCATCCCCGAAATATCCATGTAAATCTTTTCTTTTCCCCTCTGTAATCATCCATGAAATTCTGACTTTCATTGCCCTAACTTATCCCTTGTGAGGAGAATGTATCTGGGCTGTATCCAAACCATCTTCTCCTTAATAACAGCAGAATGTTCTGATGCAGTTTTGTCTGCTATTCTTTTAATTCCGACTTTTCCAAGACAGTTCCACGCAAATCCAGCAATCCATTCATCCTCATTGGGTGTGAAATGCAGCGATCAAGAAAAGTCTCCTAAGCACACAAGAAAACTCTTGCCCCTTCTCTACAGTATTGCTTTCCCAGTTTGTATTATGATATTTAAACAACTATCCACACAACCATCTCCAAATGCTTCATTCGCTGATGATTGTGCAATGTTCAGCAATATCCAAGTTCAGGCTGACAAATGGAAAGTAACATCCATGCCAGACAAATGCCAAACAATTACCATCTCTAACTAGAATGAGTGTAACCAGCACCCCTTAGCACTAAATGGCATCACCATCATTAGAGTTAACATTGACCAGAAACTGAACTGAACTAGCCATTTAAATACAATGGCTACAGAGCAGGTCAGAAGCTAGTCCATCATCTACAAGAATAAATCAGGAGTATGGTGGAATACTCCCCACTTGCCTGGGTGAGTGCAGCTCTAACAACACTCTCAAAGCTTGACCCCGTGCAGGACAAAATAATCTACTTGATTGGCACAATATGCAAAGCATTCATTTCTTCCAGCACTGATGTTCAGTAGCAGAAGCCCCATGTACCATTTACAAGATGTGAATTTCTGCAGTACAAAGGCTCCTTAGACAGCATGTTCCAAGCCCACTGTCATCTAGAAGGACAAGGGCAGCTGAAACATGGGAATATCATCACTTGCAGGTTCCCTTCCAAGCTACGCCCCATCCAGACTTGGAAATGTATTGCTGTCCTTCAGTGTCACTTGGTCAAGATCCTGGAACTCCCTCCCTCGTGGTTTTTGAGAGTGTACACAAAGCACATGAACTGCAGTGATTCAAGATTGCCTTTTCAAGGGCAGCTGGAATGGGCAGTAAATGCTGCCCCACCCAGTGACATCCACATCTCATAAATAGATTGAACATTTGTCATATCAGTAGTTGAAAATTCTTCCACCTCTCTATAACTTCCCTGCAAATGTATTCCATCATATTTTCTTCTCCCATTTGCTTGCTGGTTCTTAGGTGCATTCAGTTATGTCATTACTTCTCTACTGTAAAGCAGAAAGGTTAAGTGGTAATCCGGCTCCAAATTCTTAAGGCAGCAGATTTTTAAAAGTACGTTTAACTTTTTCTCCAATCTAACCTGGCATAGGCAAGAGAGGACCTTCACAGAAGAAAACCAAGATGCTTAGAAGTTCTTTAAGTAACCCAAGTCACAGCAGTCCTTTGGAAACTTCAGAGCTGCCAACATCTTCACTCCCATGTCAACTGGAGTGCAACCAAGAAAACAATTTCTCAAAGATGGATGAGAGTCTGGCTGATGCAGGACTGAAGAGCAATGGTGACAGTGCCTTCTATGATGACAAAACAATAGAACTAACTCAACACAAAGATCCTGCTGACAGTACAAACACTTCAAGCAGTGATATTGATAGCGATGATGATGATGAGCAAGATGCTTTAAGCCGACAACTACAAGAAATACTTGATTGGACTGAACCTCTTCCTCCGCAACTGTCTCCATTGCCATGTTCTCCTTCATCTAAAAAGGCAGGTCTAAACAAGATGTTAGTTGTCATAGAACAACTTAACCTTATTATTTTATCAGATATTTTATTAGTATTCCATTGGTTTTGCGCCTGTACTCTTGGGTCGTTGTGCTACCAGCTTTCAGAACATTACAGAACAGCAATAAATATTTCATTATGGTTATCACAATTAACACCAAGGTTATTTGGGCAAGACTCTGAGGTACAACAGAGAATTACCACTCAGTTTGTTCTCTGTAATAGTCTGGATAAAACGTGAAAGTTGTTGAGATAATGAGTGATAATGTGTACATTTGCACACTGTCCTTCTATTTTGATACCTTGGCTTAAATCCAGCCCAGATGGATGGGCTTAAATTTTTCTTTCTCTGACCGCTTTTTGGTGAGAATCAAACCAGAGAACAAGGTGACTTCCAAACTCTGTATTCATGGGAATTAATAATTGCAAGCATAGAACCCAGAAAGGTAGTTGAATGGGAATGAATGATAATCCAGGAGAGAGGGAAGTGTTCCTTTTAAGGCCAAGTTTATGCTGGAATTGCTATTTAAGGAGCTTCACTGAATAATTGGTCAAATGCTAGTATTGTTTTCTACAGTGAGAATGCAATATGTGCAAAGGTATAATGTTAATTTTCACAAAGCCATGAGAATAAAATCCTTCCCACGTAGAAAAGGCATTCAAACTCTCTAGCTTTTTTGACTGCCACTTTATATCATGGTTATTCTATGTCTCAACTTCATTTTCCCACTTTTTCTCTACAATATCTCCTTACCCTTACCTAACAACTCATCTAATCTTGGAGATTTTATTTAACAAAGTACCCTCAGCGTTTGGGGGAAAAGCTTCAAGATTTTCATAACCTTTCATTATCATCAATGTACATAAATTCCAGAATGTAGAGTGTTGGTTCACTTCTTGCACCCAATTGTATCCATGAAAATAATCTACCAACGCTACAGCTGAATTACAGTGAAGGTATTCTAACGATATTACAGAAAATTCAAACAACATTTGTTTCAGTGGTATCGAATCTTAAAACAGTGCAGCCAGTATTGAAAGGTTAATGCTGTGGAGAATATGGAATAGACACTTGCAATATTGAAAAGGACAAAGGAGAACATAAGAGATTCATCAAGATGTTGGCTTGGATGATGCACTTTCCCTATGAAGAGAGGCTGGGTTAAGCTCGGGTTGTGTTCTTTGGAGCAGAGAGGGCTGAGAGTGTTAAGAGCTTTTGAAAGAGGGCTTTTCAACTTTTAAGTGTGGGAGCATGGATTTCTAGAACTAGTGGATAAGTTAGCTAGAAGGAGGAGTTTGGTGTGATATGCCTTTCTGCGCATCTTTCCTATCCTCAGTTGTTGAACTGCTTCTGCCATTGTACCAGTTAGCCAATGCAACACTTCTGCGGGTTACCTCAGCAGTTTCCACCCATGCTATCTTCTCTATAGCAGTCCCCTCCCATCATGAAGGAAGCCTGTTTTCCTGCAGACCGTATCTGTGAAGAAAAGTGAAGCATTGGGACTCCATGACAACAGTTCATCCCTTTGCTCACTCAGGTCCGTAATCAAACAGTTTAAATAGTTCAGATGAAGTAATCACATGCCAAAAGTCGTGACAGTAATTTGGGAATTCAGCTAGGTTAAGAAGCTGCCAATAGATGTACTACCGAAACCTCAGGATTCCTAGCGTAAAATCAGATGTACCATCCCACTACCCACTCCCAAAGAGAAGTGCTGACCTACAGCAAAAATGCACAAGCCATTTTTGTTTTACTTCTACAGTGTGTAAACATCAACCCTTATTCCTCACTATTAATGCCATTTGTCTATAGGAAGTAGTTAGACTGGCAAATTAGTTTAGCATCTAAAACATTGCAACTGTTCTCTAGACACTCACAAGCAATACCTCTGAAATATAATGTTCCCTTGCTTTCAAATTATCTTTAGATTTGATATTATGCAAGAAAATATTTGTGGCCATACAGGAATTGAATCCTGTTTTAATTGTGTCTTTCATCCAAGGTGTTTTAATAGAGAAAATACAGACATTTGATTTGTTTTCTTAACCAAGTACCAATCCTTTTGTGTTTTGCATTAAACAAATAGAATGCCTCCTTATCCATATTGGCATTACTGTTAGGAGGAATCAATTACTCATCAGTTATATTTTATAACTTCGTAGTATTTTGACAACCAATATTTATATTTACCATAATCTTCATAGAATGCCTACAGTGTGGAAACAGGCCCTTTGTCCCAACAAGTCGACACCAAACCTCAACGCATCCCACCCAGACCCATTCCCTTTTCACCCACCTAATCTACACCTCCCTGAACACTACGGGCAATTTAGCATGGCCAATCCACCTAACCTGCACATCTTTGGACTGTGGGAGGAAACTGGAGCACCCGGAGGAAACCCATGCAGACACGGGCAGAATGCGCAAACTCCACACAGACAGTCGCCCGAGCTTGGAATCGAACCCGGGTCCCTGGCGCTGTGAGGCAGCAGTGCTAACCACTTCGCCACCGTGCCGCCCACAAATCTTATTAGAAGGCATGGTACTTGTATGTCATTGCATGCTCCAAGTTTCACAAGAATGCAGAGAACCAGTAGTTCAACACAACTGAAACAGAAAAATGGCATGTCACGCTGGTTGCTGCGAGGGCATAAAAGTCTATTGGAATGTAGGTAGCTTTTGTCAAAGAATGGTTCAAATAGTATCTGTGATTCTGAGTAAAACATTGGAAGTGGTAAAGGGTCAAGATATGCCTAAATGAGTCAAAAATGGAAAATGAATGCTGGGAGACCGTTTAAGTCTGAGGAGGAGATAGATTTTTAATTAATACTGTGTTGTAGGGTCATGGGGAGCGGACAGCAAAGTGGAGTTGAAGCCAAGATGAGATCAGCCATGATCATATTAAATGGCAGAGCAAGTCAAGGGGCAGAATTGCTGAATTGCCTACTCCTATTACTAGCTATGTTATTATGAGTGTAAGTTGCGATTTAAAATCTTGAAAGTGCCAGTGACGCAAAGAAATTTCACCTGGGACATATACCTGCCTGAAATAGTTAACTCTTAACTTGGTCCAATGAGCATCCTCCAACTCCTAGCCCAAATAACTATTTTTTGTCTTTATGCTAAGGACATGGCTGGCTCCATTTCCACCTATGGCCATATTTCTACAACTTTCAACAACTGTAATACATGACAACATGGAAGTCTTTTACTTTTCACAACTCTGGGACATAAGTGACGTGTAGCATCCCAACTAATGTCCTAATTGAAATTTGAAACTCGGCATTGATCTTGGGGTCTTCCTTGTCTCTCTAACTCAAATACTAAGTAAGATATCAAGAGAGCTTGATTTATTTGACTTTATTAAAAACACTGTAAAAGTAATGTCATGCTTTGTTATTTTCTGTTCAGACAGCTTGCATGTCAGATAATGTAAGTAAAATATTCTTTCTCTTATGCAGCAAATCCTGTTTGGCGATATTACAGATTCAAGTGATGATGAAGATTGTAATCTTCCTGGAAGGAACCGTAGTGAAAGTGTAGCAAAGACTGATCAAGTGGATAATTCTGGATGCATCGAGATGCTGACAACTAATCAGTCACCTGTGATGGAGGCAGGCATTTCTGCAAGTATGTGTGAAGAGTTATCTGCCGAGAAAATGGATTGTTCTGAGGCAGAAACTGAAGATCTGAATGAACAGTATTCAGCAAAAACTGAAGTGGAGGCTGAAGTTTCAGATTGTTCTTTGATTGTCAAAGATGCTCAGTGTAGAAATGAAAACAGCACTGAAATTCAGTCTGTATTTGAGGAAACTGTGAAGGACTGTGATGTGACCAAAATTCCAGAAAAGTGTGATGTTGATTCTGTTCTTGCACCCAGGGCTATTGATAAAACTGACACGACATCTCCACAATACAGTTACAATGATGACATGAAAAGGGATGATATTACAGAAAGTTCAAAAAGCACTGTGGTTTCAGTAGAGTGTAATCTTCAAACAGTGGAACCAGAACTTGAAACGTCACAACCATGCAGTAAAGAAGAATATGGTGTAGAAACTTGTGTTAAAGAGGTGGACAAGGAGGAGCCTGTGTCAAACGATGCCAGTGCCGGTGAACAGTTAGGAACAACTTTTGAACGAATGGAGATGCCAGAAATTAAGTGTAATAGTCTTACATGTGACAATCAAAGAGGTGAATGCATGGTAACTTCAGTGCTGACCTCTGATAGGGAGCATGCCACATCAGAATGCACAACAAAGAAGCAAGTTGGTGTTAGCACAGTGGAAGAAGAAATATCATTTTCAGAGATGAACAATGTAGAAGTAGATGGTGTTGCTCAAACTAACTCGGGTGAATGTATTTCTACAGAGGACATGGAGGTGGAGGAAAGGAATTGCAATAGCTTTACACCTGACAGGCAAAAGGATGAATGTTCACGGGTTTTGTTGCAGGCAACTGATGTGGACCTTCCTCAAATAAACTCACTGACAACAGAACAAAATCTTAATAAAATGGAGGAGAAAACCCCATCAGCTGAGGTTTACTGTTCTGTAGAAACTGATGTTTCTCAGCACAAGTCCAAGCACTGCATAACTACAGGGTGTGCAGAGGTGGAAGAAGTTATTGCTGATAATTCAGTATCTGATAATCAAAAAGATAAATCCATACTGACTTCAGTGCCAGCCACTGATTCTGAGCAAACACATAACGAACTTGCAGCACAAGATCAAAGAGAACTTGTCAAAGTGCAGGCAGTATCATCGCTGGCAGATTTTGAGTGTTCCACAGAAACCAGTATATCCCAGGATAAGGCAAACAACCTTTTTTCTACAGAGGATACAGAAATGAACAGCAGTTCTGTTGGCCTAATATCAGATGATCAAAAAGATAAAGGCAGTCCGATTTCTGCATCCAGTGACACTGAAGAGTTTGATGCAAAGGAACATAATGGGATTGACAGAAAACAGGAGACTGCTATACGTGGCAAGATTGACAATTCTGTCATAGCTCAGGACAGGTCCGAGGGCCATGTCGGTACTGAAGATGTGGTGGTAAAAGGCTTAGATTCCAAAAGTCCTATCTTTGACAGCCCCAACAATGAACATGTGGTACCTTCAGAACCTGAATTTATTCAACAGGCTGAATCAGCCTTTATAATAAAGGAGAAACACGGTTTCAACAAACTCAGTGAGGTGTCTTCACATGTGTCTGACTGTTCTGATGTCATTCAGGAGAGTTCCATTTGCAGTACGGATATGGAGATGGAGGAAGTAGAATTGAATAGTTCTACATCTGATGCAGCAAACAATGCATGTATATCAACCTTGGTACCATTCAGTACTCAGATGACTGAAGTGGAATCCTCAGCAAAAGGTCAAGATTATCTTAACAAGAGAGAGCTGCCTTCGCCATTTTTTGATTTTGACAGTTCTGAGATATCTGGTGTTATACAGAATCAAAACAAAGACTATGTTTCAACACACATTGTGGATATGGACGAAGGTAGTTCCAATGGATCTGCATTTATTGAATGCACATTGATTTCAGTGCAGTCTTCCATTGAGGAATCCGAAACCAAGTCCACAATAGAGGAAGACAGCATGATTACCAAAACAAATGAAGCACCTTCATTTCTTGAGTCAGATTGTTCTTTTGCCATAACTGATCTTGCTCAGGACAAATCCTCAGATTGTATTTCTGTTATGGGAATCTCTAGCAAATCTGAAAGGGTGAGTTTCCTTTCCCCAGAATCGGAATCAACTGAAGATACTGAAAAAGTAAAAGACCTGGTTTGTGAAAGTCCATTTGACCAGTGGAATGAAGAAAAAGATAAAGTTGTAGAAAATGAGGAAGAAGAATGTCATATAGGAGAGATAAGCAGTCAAGAATCTGGCACAGACTCAACTCAAATTTGTGAGATGAATCCACAGAAGTCTGAAGTAGAAGTCTCCATGTTGGTTAGAAAAATCAAAAGAAAGCAATGGCATGCAAAGATTCTAACTCCTGAGGAAGAAATGCGGGATACCACTAATCAAAATAGAGTTGAAGTAGCCACCACAGCTGATGTTTACATTCCTGAAAGCTTGTCTCAAGAGGTCAAAGCTCAGACTGGGAATCAGAAGCTTGAAGCTGAACACCACACCTCTTCTGTTAATAGCCATGTTACGGTACAATGTGACAAAGTGCCTTTTGCTTCTAACTGTGTACCAGAAGCTAACGAAACTGTTTGTAAAATTGCAAACATAATAAATGCTAAGGAAGATCAAGTGGCTGTTCATCCTGACTCTGTTGAAAGTAAAATTGAGCCAGTAACTTTGGATAAAGATTTTTCACAAGACATCTGTCATAGTCCAGCATTCAAAGCAAATGATATGAATTCTGACGATGCCAAACATGGGGATAATACTGTGTCAAGAAAATATGGAGTTTCAGCTCTAGATTTAGATACCCCTGCTTTAAACATTTGTGACAAAGAACCTCGTTCAGAATCGAGCACTAACACTGACACGTTGTTAGGATGTGCACATATAGCAAATAAATGTTTGGAAAACAATTATCTGCAAAATGAACTAGATAATGTGGAGAAATTGCAAAACTCTTCTGACATTTGTTTCAATCAAGACAGCAACATACAAGAGAAAGATGGCTTGCAAACTAGCAAGAATACCATTGGAATTGTACAGGAAATGCCCAATTGCCCCTCAAGTGTAAAAAAAGTGAATAATTCTACAAATACACCAATAGAGGGCACTTCCAGTCATATACGTTTTGTACAAACAGTGGACATTTCAACACAAACTGAAATAATGTGTGTTGGTTCGGAAACTGTGCTTTACACTGGCAGTGATCTTAAGGCTGTTTCTCAGACAGATATTGTTGAAAAATGTAAATTAGGAACACCAAATGCAAAACAACATTCTAGTTATTGCGATTTGTGGAATCCATCACTTCCAGATGTTCCTTCAGATCATCGAAGACCCATTTACACAGTGGCTTTACATGATAATGAAGCATTATTTGAAAGTACAGTTGACAATTCAGTGGCTGTGGAATCATTTGGAACTTCAGAATGTGAGCATACCTCCAAAAAGACTGCAAAAACCAAAAAGGTACAATTATGTAGAAGATTACCATGCAGTTTGGTTGAAGATGATGGAGATCTGCAACCAGAAGGCACTTTACAAAAGTCTAATTTACAGTCCACCTGCAAAAGTCGTGCTGTTTTAAGAAGAAACAGAAGAAATTCAAATTTGAACAATCCACCTGTACGATCCAATGCTGACACTTCCGCTCCAGCATTGTGTACGCAAGAAATTCATCAAGTAATGTTAGAAATGGGACAACCTTTACCACCACTACTGCCGCCACTCGTAGCTACACCACCAAGAGCTGTAAGAGTTACAAAACCAATATCCCCTCTTATTACAACATCTAATGCAGTCTCGCTATGTTCTCCTGTAGATGATTTGGCTTCCCCTTCTAAGGACACCACAAAGGCTGCTTCGGTTTCTCCTCCTTTGGATTATACTCAACAAAAGTCTCCTTCGATGCAGTCACCATCCCCATTAGAATTTGCAAGAAATGAACGAATCCAATCTTCTCCATTACAGTTTTGCACTGCAACCCCAAAACATGCTGTTCCTGTACCTGGGAGACTACCTCAGTCTGCGTCAACATCTGGGGGTTCAGCTTTACCTCAAGAAAACTCTGTAAAAATATTGGATGCTATGTATCCCAACCTCTCTGCCCGTGCAAGAACTTTAAACATCCTCCGTGGAAATGTTCAACTCAGTATTCGTGGCCCCACGGACAATGAGAACCAATCTGGATCAGTGAACCAAATCATGGGGTTCAAAGCAATCAATTCTGCTGCAACTGCATTTGTTAAAGCAGGAAGCAATTCCAGATCAGAAGGCTCAAAAGCTGATGGATATGAAAAAGATTTAGAGCAACAACAGACAGCTATTGCTAGCACGTTAAGTACTATGGATAGATCTAAAAAAGACCAAAAGGGT